TCTTATAGGACGGCAAAGGCGTACGAGTTCACATTGGTTAACAGTTGTAATGAATAGTGTAATTAATGTGCAACTCAATAGTATTGTATTATTAGTCCGCTGTTCAATGATGTCTCATAGTTGATCAAAGACTAAATATCTTTGTTCCGCGAATTTATTTGATAAATGATCCTATAAGCATACTTCATACGTATGGCACTCGAAGTTTTTCCATTTTAGAGTGCTTTGCTCTCGCTTGCAAGAAGTCAACCTTGACGTAAAGTTATCCGATTCCAATGCTGTCACGTCCTGCGGTTTTCGATCTCTGGTCCGATACTTGCTGGAAGTTTCGGGTAACGAAAGTAAGTGAAAAAAGAGCATCGACTTGCACAGTATAGTAGAGTAGCAGAGCAGAGTCTATTTTCAGCTGTGTGGAACGTGATTTTAGAAGATTATACTAGTAGTGGACAAGGTTATCATGGTCCTGCAGATTACAGTCGAAGTCGGGACAAGGTGCTCTTGCTTTTATTTTTGCTTTGGATGTTGGCACGTCTAGATTGCGCCAAAAATCAGTTCCCATTCTGGCAGAAGTTTTTGCGTCTAATGCATTAGAAAGTCTCCGTTTCCATAACTTTGATTTTGCGAGTACTCTGATATGAAGGAAAAAAAAAACAGATTCCGCTATTTTACTCCAAGAGTTCGTTTGAATGCCTGAAAGCAGCGGTCGGAAAAACATGAAAAATTATTTCTTCATGCTTACCGAAATGACGCGGTTGATGCTTCTGCAAATCTCAACTCACCTCTCAAATGATTTCTTAAGTTCACGACTTCTGAAAGTGAAAGTAACCTTTTTAGAGGGCACAGAACGGTACTAGAGCTGCAGTTATTTGCACATTTCTTTAACTAATGACTTGCTTTTAGGTGTTCATATCTTACGTGCGGACACTGATAGATCTCGGTGTTACTATCAACCGACTCACACTTCTTGATAAGCGTAAGGTATCCCCTTACATGATGGTAATGTGTCAAAGCAAGCGCAGGTCCATCTACATGTATCCTGAATTCAAGGTAAAATGGATTAAAATGAAGAGTCTCCATATGCTATACGCCAACATTTTTAGCGTTGTCGGGAACTGTTCGTGTGTTACGATATAGGACTGATTGCTCCTATTTTCGCTCACGAGGACGACAGATTCACATCGTTGCGGGTGTTTGAGGTGGATGAATCACATGTGCTTTACAAGAGGGATCTGCTAGAATATTTGAGTAATGCTCCTAGTAAGTGAACTTTGAGACGTGAGAGTATTTTTGGTTCTCTTAATTGTTCATAATTCCAGATCTGTGCGAGATGCGCGTCGTTGTGCCCGCGACTTGGTCTCGTAGAGTTAGCACCTGCACCAAAGGGTGCTTCACGAACCCGGACTTCGCTTGCTTCAGGTAAACCTTGCATTTCATTTTATTTCAGTAATCTCAACGTTCAGCAAGCAAACGTGTATTCTAGACTTTGTAGTGTGGGTTGGGAGCTTCTTACCAGTGGCAGACCGGTAGGAAGGGGAGGAAGGAATTACCTTTGAAAAAATGGCTCTCAAAACTCTTGAAAGTAGTTTACATGAGTTATCAAAATGCTCAAGTGACTTGTCTTTCTTTGATGCAATAAAAATAATTTTTTGATTTCTCAAAATCCTAAGTAGCCTTTCTGAATTTTTGGGCGCTTTTGAATTTCTTTGGGGTCCGCAAAATTTCAAAAATCATCTCGAAGAACTTCTGGGATAGCGTGGCTGAGCACGTCTTATTACTCATAAAAGAATTCCTGTCCCTATCAAAACAATTTTCTGTCGTGCTTTCCCCAAAAAATAATGCACCACTGCTTCTTACATATCGCATATATGTACATCAGGTTGTTAGGAAAAAAATCAACCTGTAAGTAACCCAAGTGGGATCATAAATTCTTAGTTTTCAAT